AAAAGGTGAACTGATTTCCTTCATTTGCCTGTGATAGAAGGTTAAATTATGCAAAGTTAACCCATTCGATTTAAAGTGTGTTCATTATTTATTCCTCATTATTTACTCCTCAACCTCTCCTATGAGAGGTACAGCTAATATTATCCTCCATTTTATAATTCTTTTCAATTTCTCTGTCGTTTCCTTCCTAAAAAAACAAATCTATTCAGGAAGAAACAGTATCCTGCCAACAGATATTTGATAGGGACATTTGAAAGAAGGAGCCCCACAAAATAGAAGTTTTTATATTAAACCTATCACAGTTCTGTCATGGTCTGCTTGCTTTTTTAACATCATTATGAAGCCATTGCAGATTGATTAATTGTTACAGGTAATTGTCTGACTCCTATTAATATTTCCATGTAGCAGTTTAGGGCCCTCCTAAAAAACATGCCTATAGGTGGATAAAAAATGAAGGATAAACTTAATAAACCAAAGCTGAATTCAAATGAAATAGAAGTGCTTATAATTCTAGGAATGATAGATCTTCCAGTGCTGATGGGGAAGTTACAGTCCAGAAGGATCAGATGCCCATTTGAGAGAGGTTCTAGCATCTCTAATTTTAGTCATGAAGTTCATGAGAGATGGTATTGCCTGCCATCTGTCTCAGGGTAACCAATCTGCAAGAGATATTGTGAAGAAAGTGACATCGAAGACAGAGAAGAATGCTATTTGCCACCTCAGTCTTTTTTTGATTGGAGGTGCAGAATATCACAGCAATAAATACAAATGTCCACTAATGAGATTGCTTGATTGGTGATATCTGGGTTCAAGCTGGAAAGAGCTGATGACTAAGATTTGCCATTCAGTGGGTGGACAGAATGAAAAGTTTTATTCCTAAAATAAATGGAAAAGTACTGTGGATTTTTGAAGCTGACAACTAAAAGGGTTGGGAGGCTGGGCTTTTTTTTTTTTTTTTTTTTTTTTTGGTGGTTGATACTGTGAACTGTTGCATTCTGTATCTTTATATCGCCTTGAAAAATGCTCACAGATTTTCATATCTAATATCTAATGCAGTACTTGGTTTCTTAGAAGAGAAAACTGATTCTAAAAGGCTGCCTCAGAATTTCCACCATGCTATGAAAAGGGAGGCCCCAAACTACTGTACTTCCTAGTTTAAAGATGGTTTATTTGGGCTGTTTCTCAAAAAATACTAGAAACGGTTTTTAAACGAGATCAAGAAATCTGGAGCTTTATTAATTTTATTTTTTAAAAATTCTAATCCTATAAAAAGATGTTCCTGATGCAATCAAGTATTTTATTAATACTTCCACTGCTGAACACAGAATTAAAAAGCAGTTTCCTTTATCCACAAGAAAAATTCCTTCTCCTAAGTTTTTGCCTTGCTGTAAGTTTGCACATATTTTAATAAAGCATCAAGTGCTTTTGTCTATGAAAAGCTCCCCTTCCTCAAAGATCCAACACCACAAATTCATTAATTTACAAATCAGTGAACGTACTCTTGTCCTGTTGGGCACTTTCAAGATTCTTCGTAGTTTTTCTCCATGTTTTTAAAGTGCGTATTGCTATGTATCTGTAGCAGAGAATTTATTAAAATTTAGACTGCCCAGCTCATTATCCAAAGTGACTCCGAATGGCGAAAGAGCCTCAACAGATGGATTACTGTTCTAATGGCAATAGTTGATGCTGCTTTGGTTATGTAAAGTTTATAATCTTTGGATTTAAAAAAATCCTCTAGCAGGATAATTTATGATGCTCTTCCCTTAATTTTTTGTTTGACTCACTAAAAAGAATGAAACTAGCCAGGGCTGAGAATCTATAGAATATTGCTTGTTTTCCCATCAGTTATAAGGAAAATTGCATGGAGTGTGGCCCGCTGATGACCTTCCGTGCATGGGGACACGGCACTTACCTGGGTTGAACAGAATTGCGCCTTTCAGATAAGCATATTCTTTAGGACTCAAGTCTAGGCTCCAGAAAGAGTTTAAGCAGCGCTGGAGGCGCTGCACGCTGGCCATGGTGGGCTGCACCCGCTGCAACTCCTGTCTCTTACACTGGCCATCAAGGAGGATCCTCTCCAGCATGCTGGGTACAGGGGTCTCCGTCACCTCAAAGGTCACCATCTCCTGCACCAAGCCCAGAAGGAAAAGGGGAGCCCAGCAGCTGTCCAGCAGCAAGAGCTGGTCTTCCCAAGGCAGGAGCTGGAAAGAAGGCAGGTTCTTCATGAAGCTGATGGTCTTCACCAAGACGTCAGAAGCTGCCTGGCAGGTAGCTTGTGGGGTCTGAAGGCAAACGGTACGGCGCTTGTGGCACAAGCAGCGTTGTTGGGAAGAGCCACGGCTACCCTTGTGGTGAGTCAAGTTCTCACTCAGCAGGGTGTAGAGAATGGCATTTCCACGGTTCTCGTGATGGCAAGGACACTTCTCACACTCCATATTCATGCGAGAGCCACGCTGACTCACTCAGCACAATCAAAAGCAAGTGCTTTCCTCCCGCCTGCTGCTTCGCCAAGCGTCCAACCCCCTTCAGCTACAGCTCTGGTTACTCTGTGGCTTCTTGCGCCCTCTCCTTGGCTGCTATCATCTCTGCTTATAAGGCTCCCGAATGGGCGAATAAATCCACCCACTTCAGCAGCCTTGACCTCCCGCTGATGAGCGGCAGCAGTTCATTGAAAAACAAGGGCTGCCCTGAGCTGATTGGTCAGCATGAAGTGAGGGCTCCACGTGGCTCAGAGGACCATTTTCTCAATGAAGGTGCCAGAAGACTTGGACCTTAACGGGCATCGCTGGTATCAGTATAAACAAAGTCATTAACCCAGCCTGTACCATGGCACCAAGGCTGCAGTCTGTAATCAGGTTTCAGGAAATGATAGGGGTCACTGCCAAGGAGTTCACAAAACACACACACACACACCAAGTCCAACAAAGAGAGTCCTATGCAAACAGTTCATAAAGCTTTAGCCTTGGAATAAGCAACCTGGAAGTCATGTAATCTGAAGATTGTTTAACTCAGACAGCTGCTCTTGGTTAATAATGAAGAGGGCAAGGGACAAAAAAAAAAAAAAAGAGCTAACGGGCTCACCATGCCTAAAAGCGGGGTGTAGTTGTCTTGTTTGGAAAGATACTGGAAGTGGCATGCTTGTTTTCTATTTAATACAAATTCAGGTTGAACAGAGGGCATTTCCAAACTTAATTGGGTGGAGGGGGGGGCAAAGTTACAGGCAGGTTTTCCCTCCCCCCCATTTTTTTTTTTTGTTGGCTCCCCTGCAAGACATCAAACAAGTAGACAATGCTTCCATAGAATCTTAATGCTCCACAATCTGTTTTTCTACATGTAGCATTTATACACATGACTATGTTGGGGAAAGCTGGCTAGGGTGGTCTAAAAGTTGAGCAGATGACAAGAATACAAGTGTGCAGAGACAATTAAATGAAAAAGGTCTTCTGCAGTCATGACATAAGCCTAAGACTGAAAATCAGGCTTGTCAGATGTTACACCTTTTCTATCCTGCTCTACGGAGTAGAGTTGGTCTCTGACAGGAAACCACTTGAAGAAACTAGAAGCATTTGAAATGTGGATTTACAGACGGCTCTTAGGTACAAATGAGGTGGTGACCATAAGCCGCCTGGGAAAGCAAAGGGAAATCATCAAAACCATTAAAAAGCGAGTTAGAATATTTTGGACATGCGATGTGACACCCAGAAAAATATGGCATCCTTCTGTCAGCATTCCAGAAAAACCCCAGCTCCAAGTAAAGACGCAGAAGCAAGCATTTTCCCCAAAGTTCTCTTTACTAGAATAGGCAAACTGGCACATCTGGGAAAACCTGAAACTAAAAAGCCCAGGTTTTCCTTCAGTAAGTCAAAGCTCCCAAAACCATCCCTCCCCCCCCCATCGATCACATGCTCCAATCAACGTCCGTTCCATCTCGACCCAGCCCCGACCACTCCTTCTCCAGATGCTGGATCACCCTGACCTTGACCGACAGGAAGAATGCTATTATGTCTACTAACAACCCTCCTCCTTAATCCCCCCTCCTGTTTTCCCACACATGAGAAGGTGGCAGCATTGAAGCTTCTGGCCTAATATGGCTTCCAAAGCTGACACCTTCACTTAATCCTCCAGGGAAATATTGAAGACAAATGAGGTCCAGGCAGAAGGTGGTCATGGCTTCAAAACATAAGGGACTGGTTTGGACAAAACTCAGCAGCACTTTTTCATACGGCTGTTGACAAAAATAGGATGGCCAACATGATCGCCAACGTCCGATCACGGATATGGCACAAGAAGAGGCAATTAAGACCAGTGCCCCATGGCAGAAAATAAGGCTTTGTAGCAATCCAGATTCAAGAGAAAATGGGAATTTGGAGCAGGTACACCACCTCAGTTGACATGCCAATGAATCCAGCACATTTTCCCCCTTGGGTCATTAGTCTGCAAAGCCTGAGAAGAAAGTAACACTGTGTAGTTTCTAGCAGGGAAGAAACATTAAAGTGTTTGAAACATCTGATAGTCTAGAGCTGATGGATATCGACTATTTTTTCCAGATGTTTTCAATCCTGCAGATCAGTTGTGAAATTCAGCTGGTTCTATCCAGATCATGCAATACGGTAGGGCCGACTGCACAAAGCCCCGCCCACCCGTGCAGACATCATGACATCCCTTTTTTGTGATGATTTTCAGTCCTTGTGCATGTGCAGAAGGCTTTGCACATTTGCAAACCGGTAGGGAAGGTAAGTGAATTTCACCCCTGCTCCACATGTGGCACAACTGCAAGGTTCAGAGCTCCCAGCCATGGAGACTTGAAATGCTGGGATCTCTGCTCCCAAAACTTCCAAAAGACATTACTATGGAAAACCCAAAGTATACACCCCATCTCCACTTTATATGCACATTGCTGGAGGCTATCTAACATTCTGGAAGTAGCCTTATATTCCATTATTGTTCATTTTCTTCAGTGGAGTCAAACAACTGACAAACATATTAACTGAAGAGAGCAGAAAGGTACAGAAGAGTTTATTTAGAGCTGCCAATCGTCTTGGATAGCTTGCTCCTGGGTACCCTGATAATCATGAGTTTCACAATGCATGAAAGCATCACCTTTTTAATCGTGCATGCACAATAAGAGCTATTTGTAAGCAAGGAAACAGAACAAAATGTTCTTGACTGACATGTCCAATTCTGGAAAAACCAGATCTGACAAGGTGGACAGCTCATTTTCAGCAATCCAGGGACCTGCTGCTTCTTCATTTCGTTCCCTTTAACAGCCAAAGAGCCTGAGTTATTGTTGACATCTCATTTTCTCATGTCATTCATGAGATTGACTTAAAACGAGCATAACTCCTTAGATTCCTTGGTGGAATCAGTGATATAATAACCCTAATTTTCCTTGGATGCGGACTGGATTTGAAACTCCCCAACTTCAACATTGCAACAGAAACAATGAAGCATTTTGTAGCTTCCTAAACCTTGGAGTCTATTCCCATCAAAGCTCTGAGATAAGTTACAAAATGGCTTGGGGAAACAGTGAAGGACAATAACATTGACAGGAACGAAAATAAAACCAGCGTATCACGTTAAAAGATCTGAGCATTCTTGCAATCTATCCCAAATTCTGGACAAATGTACTCCAGGTTTCACTACTTATGATTGCCATGTTAATTCTGAAAGTAACAAATAGTAATTAGTGTCAGATACATGGATCTGTGATGAAGCTGCTCCTAACTGTAACCTCTAAATAGCAGCCTGTATCTACCCAGAACACACACTCTTGCACTGCTACACCTTGGAGTGATGGCTCAAAGGGAATATCCCAAAGAGATTTAAAGATTGTCAGTGCTTTGATTGATTTTGAAGCCGTTCCCAGTTGTTATGCAGAGTTATATCTGTATAATGGTTGCTTGGTTTTTGAAACAAAGGAGTGACGTTATTTTGAAGGTAGGACTTCCAGCTCTTTATTTAGGAGCAAGAGTATGATCAAGGATGGATATCAACTCCAGATTTTTTTAAAAAAATTTTTTTTTAAATGATACCTTCCCAGATTTTCCAAAACTAAGAGAAGCCCAAGGGAAAACAATTATTGTGTAATAGAGCTCCCATTTATTTTAATCCTTCATCTCCCTAAAATATTGCCTTACAAAGATGAAGGACAGACTTCTGATAACTGATGCTGCTGTTGAAAATCCAGAAGTCTAAGCAGTATTCTATATGGAGTTACTAGTACAATTACTTTTTAACCCCAAAACGGAGTGAGTATATGCATTGTCCGAAAGGTATCTCTTGCTCTTTAAATTTTGAATGTTTGTCAGGAAAGGAGAGAAAAAAAATAGGGGAAATTGTATTAGTTGAATTTTGCTTTTGAAAAATCCATTTCTGGATGCTGTTCCATGAACCTGCAAAAAGGAGAGAAATAAGCATTAGTTGACAGGGATAAAGAATACCAGCATCTATGTCCCTCAGCCCCAGTTCCCTCCCCCAGCACTAAATTGGAAAGAAAGAGTTTCTAATTGTTGATGTTAGGTAGTTTGGCTGCTGCATATAAAACAAGAAGGTATCTCAGAAAAGATACCTTAGAACAGGGGTGTCAAACTCATGTTGTCATGGTGGCATAATGTGACGTATTGGGACGTACCCCCCCTTCGCTAAATTGGGTGTGGCCAGTACGTGACGCATCTGGCCCGTGGGCCAGGAGTTTGACAGCCCTGCCTTAAAAGGATAATGCCTAAAACATCATTAGGTAATAAGGGAAATCCAGTTGCAGACACAACTCTTCTTTTTTAATCAAACACAAGTCTCCGGAAGGAATGTACCTTTCAAAAAACGGGAAGTGATCAGTCCAGGTAAAAGTAATAATAAATAATTTAATTATTATTTATAATAATATAGAATAATAAAATACAGAAATTGCCATTTTGTAAGGTACCAAATTTCTAAGCCATCACTGTGGCATTACTGGCCATGACTTATGTAGAATCACATCAGCTCTGTCCTTCGCACTATCAGTAAAACTGTCCTATTATGGAACCCAACAGTTGTAAACCAGCAATGACAAATCAATCAAATATTGACCTTAGGAACGATTAGCTCCAAGGTCAAATACAAATTTTCCAATGCAAGCAAATATTCTTGTTTATGCATCACTTGAATGGAACATTTCTTACTAGAGGTTTTGGAAATCATACTGTTCAGAAATAGCACTTTTCCCATTACAATTATCTCAGCAGAAGCCAGTTAGCAGTATTAGATCATGTTTAGTGCTTAGTATTATTTTCAAGCTTTAACATTCTTGAAGTCTATGTAATTGGTGGAGTTCATACAATTACACTCATGTAAGACCACGATAAAGTTCCCATTTTATAGAAAGAAGGCTTTTGCCCACTAACTGTTCCACTGAAATACATAGAAACAGGGGCACGGAGTAACTCACAAAACTGACTCTTAACTTACTAAGCTCAGAGCACACACTGATCACCTAAAAGCGCACCATTCCCCCCCACTTCCAAATTGTTTTATTTACTGATATGTTATTTAGCCAACCTATTGGGAGAGGACACCTGTGACTCCTTCATGGGGTCACTTTTTCCACACTATCTGAAAACGTTACCTGGCAGAAGGGCAAAGGGTAAAGTTTTAGAGCTAACAGACAAATTAAGAATATTGTTGGGACCGAATGGCACTTTTCCAAGACTTCTTAATGAGCCAATCTGTAAAATAGCTGAATTATTAACTAAGAACAACCTTAATGATATCACATATAGTGGAAGAACTAAGACCCAAAGAAGAGACACAGTGGAGAGCTTGGAAGGAGGAAGAAGGCAAACAGCTCATAACTTGGTGGACTGACAGGGCTAAACTGCGGTGCAACATCCGGAACAAAAATTATACAGTTTCTGAAAAACACTGCTTGTTTGAATACGCCACTACTGACACTAGAAAAAGGCCTCATATCCAAGCTGTGACACTTTGCCTATGGAGACTAGTCAGGAAAAGACAGAAATTTCCCCCATTTCTGGCTTTATCCCTTTTCTCTGCTTGAGCTATTTAGAATGACTGATGAAAAGTGTTTGACCTTTAGTTACCCTGCTTGCAACTTGATGCGCATCACCCTATCTGGCCTTAAAAGGGGAATTACTCACAGAAGCTTCTACAGAGATCTCTGACAAGCAGGGCAATAAAACAATAAAATGCATGATTGTCTAGTGAGTCGTGTTATCTGACTTGGAGGCACATGGAGATTAGAGGCAGAGACACCACGTCATAGTTCAGGCCGAGATGGTACTGCCTGGCTTCATAGTCTCCACAAAGCACTTACTTGCTGGGATGTCCTTATAAATGCCGTAGGGCCTCCTCCCTCCCTCCCCATTAGGAGGCAAGTCTGGAAAACAAGTTGTTGCTCCCTTCCTCACAGTGTAAAACTGGCCTTACTCACTTTTTCAGTATGTCCTGCTTCTTTTGCTCGTCCGATGTGGGAAGCCCCATTGATTTCTGCCGCTGATCATACATCATTTTCTCAACCATGCTACGCGTTTCGCTATCCAAGTCTGATAACTTGGAAATTGAGAGAAATGTATTAGAGAAATTTATATGGATTTGACACATTTGTGGCTCACTTTCTAGATACCACTTAATAAAGTCACATGAATAACACTGGTATACATAGCAAGGAAAGACTGTTCCTCCCTCCCCCCCCCTTTGGTTCCACAACCACCCAAAATGTCTTCTGTTCTATTTCTTAGTTTTCAGGGCTGTATATTCAGCAGCAGCAGCTCGTCAAGGCCACTGAACAAGAACTCCAAAGAGACAGCCGTTGAAACTTATCTCAACGTTTGAAGGAGGAAGTCTTTGCTTGCCAGGAGCAGCATATAAAAAAGAAACTAAGACTTGCTTAGGAAAACACACATTAGATTGTACAGTAGTTTTTTGTTTTTAAAAAAACCAGTTTGCCGCTCCTTTCTTCTTGGGTGTCTGGAAACTATGCCCTGGGAAGGTTTCCCATCCAAGTACTAGCTGTCAACGAATTAAGAGCTGACCTTGAAAAAGATATGAGTGAGCTGGTAAACTGTTATACTGGCTTTCAAACTGTTAATAAACCTTACAATAGCATAAAATTCCTGGAATCTCCAGTGTTTTTTTCTTCCCCTGACCTACTTCAAAGGGCTAAGAAAAAGGAATCTTGCCTGGGACGGTCAGTCAGATGCTGCCATTTGTTGAAACAGACTGTGGTTATAATGCAATAAAGTAACGGATTTCATCCTACTTCTAACAATTAAATATTTCAACAGTCTGTGAAATGCAGTGACCCTAATCTTTCTCTATCACAGGAGGGTAAAGACAGTGTATGGTTGCCTATTTTCTGAATTGTGGGTGCAGACCCATTTTAACTCATACCAGGTGAGCAGTAGGGATCTGCTCTATCCTAGTTCATGTAAGCAGCTAGGATAACTCCTACTTCCAGTGGGAATTACAGAGGCTGGGGGGGTTGGAGGAGGTGGCAGAGTTAAAATTCTCTGCCATGCAATGATCCCTGATAACGTGTGTTTATGTGAAGAGTGTGCCTGCATGGGTCACACCCACATCCACCAATCCATTCCAGAAGTGAAATATGGGCCACAAATGGTCCAGCAACACTCTTTTGAGTTAAAACAAAACCTGACCAAAGAATCACTCACTTTTGAATTCTCAGGGTTAATTTTCTTGGTGTTAATCTCTGGGTCTGTTTGGACTAACTTGTTCCACCATTCCATCTTGTTGATCTACAGTGAAGAGAGAAATATTATTATGTAGAATATATCAGCTTCTTTGGATGTGGCATATGCAATAAGAATGTAACTTTTGTGATTTATGGATCCTGATGCATCATATTCTTCTGTCTCATCACAATATTATTGCATACATCTTATTTGAGGTGTTAGCTATACTCTATTAAACAAGTATGAAATATAAAGCAATCAGCATATATGAGAACTCTTACAAAATCATCCTTTAACTAAAATCCAGAAACATTTGCTTTGTACCTTTTCCAAGTGCACTGTGACTATTTTTCCATCCTCAATCAGCCATGAGCTCTCCTCCACCTTCACCTCATTGTACAGGTCTCCATCGATCATGGGGGGATGGCCTTTTAAGCCCACCTTCAGATGACGCCTCTGTATATCAACCACCATATCTTTTCCCTTCAGTCTGAAGCTCACCTTGAATGGGATGGCCAACTAGAGAAAACAGGAAAAGAGAACAAGGAATTCTTCATGAAAACCTCAAGCAGGGAAGACATACAAATCACTATTAATGGAATCCTAGGATTGCAAGGGACCTTGGAAGTCTTCTATCTACTCTCCTGTCCAGGCCAGGAATCCTCAAACCAATGCAGATAAATGGCTTTATCTGAACACTTCCATCGATGAAGCACCCATGATTCACAAGACAAACGGTTCCACTGTTACTGTAATTATTTCTTGTGTTCCTTACTTCAAGTTTCAATATTGCTCTGTAAAGCTGCCACCCCCTGGTTCTTGTCCTACCCTCAAGCATCAGAGGATCCTTCCCTGTGACAGCCCTTTAAGAACCTCTGGTCACTAACGCTTCTGACCACAAACAAATCGGGTTCAGACTAAAAAAATTCACAAAATTTTTGAATCTGGTCATGAACACATACTCAGGTGGGGATCAAACACGGCCGCAGCCAATTTCCCCTGGATGCGTTTACTCTGCCCCCCTGTTTTGGCTTGAGGTTGGAGAGCAGGTTGCCGCTGATCTTCTCCTCCTCAGCCCACTCGCAGGTCTTGCCCTTAGCCTGTGCGTGGAACTTCTTCCCTTCACGCACCCAACTGCAGCGGCGGCTGCACGAGAGGGGCGCTTCGCCAGCAGTCACTTCAGGAAGCGGGGGAGGGCGTGGCATTTCCCTGTCCTCTACGACACACAACAAACGGCGCCCGTCCAGGCTTCCCCACAGTGGTGCACAGAGCGGGATAGGAAGCGGCGCCCGTCCCAAGGCTGGAGGAAGAGGGCCTTTGAGCCCCAGGCACTGGTTCACTGTACTTTTCTCAGTGCAGTGAACAATGCCAGCTTGGACAAAGTGAGCCAGCCAGCTAGGGAGGGGGGTAGACCCAGAGCCCCAGGCTCTCCAAGGCTTGAAAACAACAGCGCTGGTGTCACTGGCGGTGGCATGAGTGATGGTGCCCTTTCCTCTTGCCCATGCGAATCCAGAGCAGCCCTACCCAGGTTCTGGGCACCAAAGCAACCCTTGGGCAGCCGATGCGAGTGCCAGAGGGAAGGGCGGCTTGTGAACAGCGTTGCTATGCTTAGAGCCGAGGAGAAAGCCGGCACGGAGCGCTTGCTGCGCCTGTTCCAGACTCGGATCCACAGAGCAGATACTAATGCACGCCCGAGGCAGAGATGCCCGCAAGTATGCAGGAGAGACCTCGGAGAGGGAGAGGCCAATGGCAGGCATCTCCAGGAACAGGAGGCGCTGAGAGTGTGAGAGAAAGACAGAGGGAAACAGAATAGGAAGTGGCGCCTGTCCCAAAGCTGGAGGAAGAGGGCCTTTGAGCACCAGGAACTGGCTCTGACAGCGCCCTGCCGACTCATCTGCTCGCGCAGAAGCCCTGCTACCCCCGAGCCGCCCCTTTCGGAGAGTTTGGCTGCAATCCTCAGCTTGGAATGGAGGTGCAGCTGGGGGTGTGGGGGTGGCAAGACAGAAGGCTGCCTTCAGTCCAAGGAAGGGACCGCAGCCTCAGGGGCTCCATCTGAAGGAGCTGTGTCGCTTGGGCAATGTCTCGAAATTAGGTTTGGGGTCACGACCAAAGTTATGGAATGAATTATGGTCGTGAGGTTCTACTGTACCATGTCTTTCCTTAGCCTTCTCTTCTTTAGCCTAAACATACTCAGTTACTGAACTTTTTCATTGATGGTAAACTTCTCACCATCTTTGTTGTTCTTCTCTACACTTATAACAATCTATTTCATTACAGTTCTGCTTATTGTTCTATTCCTGACATAGAAGAACATTCTGTGGCCAATTCTAAAAGAAAGTGAAGCAGCTATTCATTAATTCGTGGATTCCCATAGTCAGATTTTTTTATTATCCAAAATAGACTTATGGATCACAATTAAATATTTCACAGATTCATTTTCCTCATAAGCAGCAGAGATGTAGCATGTACTTCAAAATCTACAACTTACATCCAGTTCAGAAAGAGTTTGCGTCCATCTGTAGTTTGGCAGGTCTGCTCCATTTCCAGAGTTTGGCTTAAGTTTGCCTTTATCCTTCTCATCTTCCTCTTCTTCATCGGTATCCTTATATAATATAGGAATGTACATAAAATATGTATCAGAACTTTTTAATGATGGATATTTTCTGTTTACTGCATTATTTATAGAGATGGCAATTCAGCTATTCTACATGTATGGGTTCAACTTTCTTAAAAGTTTTCTCTGCTTAAGACAGGTTTAAAAATACACTGCAAACGTCCTTTTGCCCAAAGCCAATCTGGGGACAGGGTGGGGATGGGGTGTCCTCTGGCATGTACTTGAAAAAATGCTAGAATTTCATGTTGTAGTTACAATATTCTGGCTAACATCTTCCTTATTTTCAACCATCTTAAAGCAATGAAATAGCAAACAGATCAGCAATTGTCTTTTGTGCCAGCAGCTAAAATCTTGAAAAATACATTACTTGCTTGCTGGATTCGGAAGATTCCACTTGATTTTCAGCAGACTTGACTGGTATGTTCATTGCATCATTTTCTTTCTTCTCTTTCTTCTGTTTCAAAAGAGTAGCACCTCTATAAGCCTGTTTTATTTGTGATATGCACATTTAAGCAGCTTAGCAATAGTAGTAATCCCAAATCATCATTCATATCCAATACAAATGGTAGCACTGAATGGGCCATGTAAAAATTAAAAAGGGGATTTTCCAAATATACCGCAGTTGTATTATGCCCCACCAATAGAGGGAAGCAGATTCACACCTGGTCTATTTCCAGTTGCAATCTTTCTGCCTCCTCATCTGTCAGCTCCTTAATCCTTGGCTCACTGTCTTCCTGTTTAGTTTCTTTGGCAAGTTTGGCGGCTTGTTCCGCTTTTTCCCGCTGTTCTGCTTCTTGACGAGCTTTCTTCTCTTTCTGGGCTTTCAGAGCAAGTTTGTTGTGGCGACTGAAAGTTTCTGTGATTAACTGAGAGAATAGAAAAGTAATATAATGGGAACAATCGTTCTCAATTACACAAGCAGTAAAAATTATCTCAATTCAAGCTCCACAGCTGGTGACCGCATCCATGTGGATTTCTTGGCAGAGATAAAAAAACAAATGGGGGATCTCTTTCAAAAGATAGAATGTTTAGGCCTGCTCCCCCCCCCATTCCTCCAATGAGGGAAATCAGGATTGAGACATAAAAAATTAAAACTGTAGCCCACATTGTAAAACTATTCTCCCCACTCTCCATTTGTTTTTACAGGGAGCTAAGGGTGTCAGACCTGTAAAGTTTATTTAAGGCAAAGATTCACACTCACTACTTGTTAAAATTTTGTTTTTCCTCCAAAAAGGACTGTAACAGGAAACTTATAGTTGCTGAAAGTTTTTTAGAATAATAAAACAGATCTGCTCCTTTCCAAAGTGTCCACAGTAGGAAAGAACAGGGGCCACCTTTGTCCACAGTTTAGAGAAGTCCTGAGGTCAGGGCTACAGTGTGTTTGCTCCAAGTGGTGACACAATCATTTGACTGCACAACCGGCTTAATTTCAAGGGTTCCCAGTGATGGGTGACCTTCACAGCTACTGCAGCAGCCAAGGGTCGTGAACAGAAGTGCTGAAATTGGTAACACATAATCTATTTTGCCCTTTGGATGGTGACATGTTGGAGACGCATGCCAACTTCTGACCTTGTCTACTGCTGCTAGTTTGAAAAAAGGGACCGAAGAAGCATGCTCTTTAAGTGGTGAACAACTGGATATCTTAGCCTTTATATAAGAGCTTAGTACTGTGTTTCCCCCAAAATAGGATATATCCTGAAAATAAAGCCACGCCTGATTTTTGGGGTGGGCATATACACCCTCCCCCGAAAATAAGCCCTGGTGACGGGATGGGCTGGTCCAGCACAGGAGGCAGCCTTTCCCTTCCCTGGTCATCTCAGGCCTTCTCGGTCCCTTAATAGGATCAACTGAGCTGCTCAGGCCGCCATTCACAGCTGACTCGTGGGTGCCACTTAGGCTGCCATCTACAGGAAGCACGGCCGCTTTTGCAGCCAATTGTGGCTGCAAAAGAAGTTGGAGACCAAGCGACGCAACCTACATGCCTCGCACCCTCCGAAAATAATAAGACCCCCCCCCCGATAATAAGGCCAAGCCCTTATTTTGGGGTTCAAAAAAATATAAGACAGGGTCTTATTTTTGAAGAAACACAGTAATTGCTGGCTTCCTCATTTAACAAAATCTGAGTTTAGATTCTAATGGTTTTATTCCTTTCATGGAATACTCATTTTACTAATTTAAGGAACAAACAGATTTTAAACAGCACTCTTCTAGATACTTCTTCTATTGCAGCACAATAGAGGAAGTATCCTCTATTCCCTAACTTCTGCTGTACTAAGGTACCTATAGGTTTACTTAACTCCACAAGATTTAAATACTATATACATGTACACTTGTAAGAATTACTTTTCAATTTTCTATACTGTATCACCATTAAAAACAGACTTTGATTGACTTTTGAAGACAAAAGGTGTGAGTCAACACTGTACATCCTTCAGGGAATGTGACAGCCACTTTTGAAAGGCTTTGTAAGTAATTATAATATTTAGAAGAAATATATAAAATGGCTTGAGCATATTTTTAAAATCTAAATAGTTTCATAAATTAAATATTCTACTTAAACTGTTCACTCATACTGAATGGATTACAAAGTACTCTTTCACCCCCAAAAAAGTTCAAAAACATTGTTTGGAACACTTACAGAAGAGTTGTTAAAATAAAAATTTAAAAATGATGTGTCATACTGACCCATTACTCTATCAGTAAAATAGAGAGTGACATGGCATAGAGTGGATCATGTAGAACATTTAACAAAATCAGGTTAGAAAAACTCTACTCTTTGGGAACAACCACTGTTGAAGAAGTGGACTTAGTACTTTCCAGAAGAGAACAAATAAAGTAAAATGGTATTATTGATCCTCGGGTGTCTGAGTCAGACCAATACATTTTTTGACATGCTAGCTTTCCAACCAGCCTTTGGTCAAAGCTTAACCAAACAAAATAACCCAAAACATCTATTATTGTCATACTCTGCAATAAACCTGCTCAATTAAGGTCAGACATAACATAATGTGGCCTCTCCAGTTTCTTTCCAGAGCCAGCAACTGAATGGGATGGAATTGCAATACAACAAAATCAACAATAAAGGGGAGATTTAAAAAGCACACTGTGGAAAATATTTCAATCTTCCTTAAACAGAAAAATATCTTTATAAACCAAAGCATATACCTTCTCAGCAGCGCCTTCTTCTCCCCCCACAAAGAAATCAGTTTTGCGTCTCAGGAAACTGAAAAAGGTATTCACAAGCTGTAAGGAACAAAAGTACCATAATCAAGGATAAGTAGTTCACATTTCAGCCTACATGATGAGTATATTTTTTACATAAAAAACATAGAAGTGACCCACTACCCAGGTTGCTTGTGGACAGCCAGTTCAGTGTACTGGTTAAGGTGTTGGAATCAAAATTGACTTTTTGGACAGTGAGTTTTAGTCCTCCCTTAGGCAGGAAAACTGACTAGGTGACTTTGGAATAGCTAGCCATTCTTTCTCAGCTCAGCCCACCTCACAGGGTTGTGCTGGGAAAAAAAATAGGAGGTAGGAGCATTATACATCCTGCCCTGAGTCGTACAAAAGTAAAGGCAGAATACAAATATTATAGACTAGATAATATAAGCAATGTTATTTTGGTACTAGTTATTCTTCTGCTCCCCCAGGATACAACCTCTAATAAACTACTCCAGACTCGATTATTTTAGAACAAATATCCATTCAAGGAAGTTAGAGCAATGACCAATCAACATTTTTAACATCATCTTGCAAACTTTTTTACTACAATAGTCCACCTTAATGCAGACAATAATGTAGACCATTATTGAAATAGCTTGTTAATGTTCTGAGCAAGCTATCTCAATAATGGATCCCCAGTTGAGTTTTTAATAAAGTTGTGCACAATACTACTTTTACTTATACCTTTTCAATTAAAGCCAACAGTTTAAAGGATCAGCTGGTCTGTCAGAACAAGCATGGTTTCCACCTGGTAGGCTGACTATCCTATCTGGTAGATGACATCACTGTTTAAATGTAGCTGTTTCTAGGTTTTCATCTCCTGGTTAATTAACCTGCTTCCACTGGTAAGGGGAACCAAGTCAATAGAAAAGGACTTTGTAAGGCCTTTCTGAACTGAATTTTCTAGTATTCTAATTTATACATCTGTAAGAAATTCCATGTCTGCCACTGGCCAACTTTTATTGTTATATTAACCTCAGGCCTTTTAGAAATTATCTAGAAGTTCAGCAGTGGGATATTCTATAGCATTATTGCTGCATGAAGAGGTATTTCTTTTAATCATTATCAAGACTTTAGTGAGGTTAAATGCAAATCCTAGTATTGCAGAGGGAAGTTCCCCACGTGCTAGGCAATAAGAGAAAGTGACATATTTTCCCTTAAGATTTCCTTGTCAAATTTATAGAATTCATGCATATTCCATCATTTGCAAAAGGTGCCAGAAGACTTTAGCTGGAACCTATTATGTTACTGTTGAAATATAAAACGTATTTACAAAATTATGTAATTTTTTCCCACTCTACAGGTTTTATTAATTTATTTTGTTAAATGTATGAAGCCATCATAAAGTCTCTCTCTCTCTCTCTGTGGAATGTATATGAATTATACACCCACAAGTATGGGATGTACAGTACATAAGAACAAGTATTTGTGTGTATACATATTAGAACAATTTACCTTCACTGGGTGGGATATAGTCAATGGATTTGTTGGTTACACTGTGATGATCATTATGTTGTTTTAGTTTTACTGTAGGCAAGCTGTTCAGATCTTTTAGGAATTGAGTAGCACAGAAACATACTCAGGGACACCAAAATATCAACAGTGAAGAGGTTAGGAAATAAATAACAGCAGTGTTTTTAATGGGATATACTTCAAATGTTGAACTGCAATTCCCATTAATCTCACATAGCCCAGGGCGCCTTATTGGAAGGATGGCAGATACATCTAAAGGCCAGTGGAGAGTTGTATTATATTTGTTAAATTTGTATTTTTGCCTTTCGCTGAGGAGGCATACTTCATCTAATCCCTAATTGTGAGGTAGGCTGAGAGTATATGACTGGTCAGAGGTCACTCACGGAGCTTCCATGCCTAAGGATGGACTTGAACGTGCATCTCCCAGTCAATGTCCAAACCTTCACCAGTAAACCATGAGGGCTCCCAATGACCCCTGCGGTACACAAACACAGAGTAAGTTAAATCATAATCATATTTGTCAAGCATATATAAGATAACAGGTAAAAGTATAAACATAATTTGAATACATGAAAAGAGTAAGTAAAAAGGAATATTAGGACAGGGACGGTAGGCATGCTGGCGTGCTTATGCAAATTCCAACCTGCATTAAAAATAAATAAATAACCAAAAGGGTTCAATAGCTATATAATACAAATTGCAAGCAAAGAATGCAGATTCATATCAAGAAACAGGCCATTCCTCAATGGCCTGGCGTGTTTGGTTCCGAATCTTTCAATAAATCTTGCAAGAGCCTTGATAGTACAGAGGTCTAAGCACCCTGTTATTAACACAGCTGCCTGCAATTACTGCTAGTTCGAATCTCTCCAAGGCTCAAGGTTGACTCGGCCTTCCATCCTTTCTAAGGTAGGTAAAATGAGGACCCAGATTGTGGAGGCAATAAGCTGACTTTGTATAAAATATACAAAAGTATGAAGGCTATTGCTTAACGCATCGTAAGCCGCCCTGAGTCTCCGGAGAAGGGCGGCATATAAATCAAATTAAAAAAAAAAAGCCATCATTAAAATTAAATTAAAACCCCCAAAAACTTTACCCTTAGACTGTCTACTGTTGATCTCACCCCATTCCTAAGAGGTCTGTAAGGGGCGTGCATAAGAGCACCAGCGTGCCTACCGTCCCTGTCTTAATTTCCCCTTTAATTGTATTCATTTTATGTAATATACTTATACTTATATATATTATCTAATATGTACTCGACAAAATAAATAAAATAACAAATAAATAAAAATTAAGCAAGCCATGGCGTAGATCTTTGCAGGCCTGCAATTGATGCCGACTCAGACCAACCTTCTCCCTCTCCTCACGTGAGATGCTTCGGGGGGCTCCCAAGGGGGACAACCATCACCCCCATCTCTCTCCTGCTGTGATTCCGTGAGGGAAGGCCTCCGAGGCGAAGGGGCTCCAAAAAAGGAAGACCGTTAGGAAGAAAAGAAAGACCGCCCGCTCTCCTGCCCTCCATTTTACCTCACGCACGCCGCCCTGGTGCTGCTGGGCCATGGCGAGCAACATGCCGTCGAATCGCTCCTCGTTGTCGGCAGCCTCTTCCCCGCTGGCCCCCATGACGCCCGGAATCGCTTGACTGAAGACGCTCCCTTTTTCCCTTCAAGGACCGCTCGGCTCGCCTCAGCACGCACCCCGAGGACGGTGGCCGGAAACGGAAGAGAAAGCGCATTCTGGCCAACCCGTTCCGGAAAGCTTTTGGCCAACCGTCGAACTCGCCCGCCTTGATTGGCAGCCGGCTCTTTCAATCCGCGACGAGAGGAAGTCAAAGACGGCCCGTTAGCCCCGCCCCCACATGTTTGGCGTCGGTTGCTACGGTTACCGCCTCTGATGGGGTTGGGGGGGGATGGGAAATTCCAAAATACACGTCCGCGGCCGGTAGCTTCGCAAAATGTCTGAAAAGACCTGACTGAAGCTTTGAATTTATCGCTTTTATTCCCCGCTTCTTTCCCCCATGTTAGGCTCCCCGCCACCAACATCTCTGTAAAGTGATTAGAGCCAGGGGTCTCTAACCTTGGCAACTTTAAGACCCGTGGACTTCAACTCCCAGAATTCCTCAGCCAGAAGCTTTGTGTACAATTTATTTTAAAAACGTATATGGTCATCCATCTCAAATAGAGTGATCTCATGTAAACAATAACAACAATAGAATAAAACCAAATCAACTCTTCCATTTCAGGAGTCAAACCGACCAAATTATTAAGCTCCTGACTCAATCTCCACCCTAGCTCAATGCTTGGGGGAAGAGCCACTTTCTAGCCATGGAAGGCTAAATGTTAGGGGCTCCTCAAGTATCAGGACTATTGGACCATGGTGGGGTGGCTATGGAGAAGGTGTGCCTTCAAGGCCCGATTAGATGACAACATTTATAAGGAAAGAGACTTGGAGTTCAGTCACCATATATGACCAAGTGGTATGAACAGATATCCTCAGGGAGATACATTTCCACCAATATTCAATCAGCACCTTGAATTGTACCTGGAAAGCAACTAGAAAGCAGTGCAGCTCATGCAGCAATGGTGTTACTTGGACAAACCTTAGGGTGCCCAAAAGTCCATGTACTACTGCATTCTGGATCAATTGCAGCTTCTGGATAGTCTTCAAGAGCAGCCTCAAGAAGAGCATTTAATTTGGGTGCCTTCAAATCATCATTGTTGATTCCTAGCAATTGCCAGGATTAGTCACTGCAGTTTTCTTGACAGGATTCCAGAAGTGATTTTCCATTGGCTGTGTAGGAAGAATCATAAGACACCCCCCCCTTTATTTCCATGCCCCCAGAGAAGGCAAAGAAAAACCATCCACAGAAGCTAAAGCAATCCCTGCCTCCCAGCCAGAATGGCCTCAAGTAACCCTGGTTAGAAGACTGAGACAGGCTGAATTGACAGGATTAAGTCAGAAGACACAAAGCCACGCAGAATTTACATTCCCCACCTTTCCCCAAGGCTAGCTTTGACCCTGACCACCACCCAGGAAACCAAATAGGGACCATTAGAATACAAAAAGGCATGTTATTAATTTAATCAAATAACTCCACCAGGCATCTCAATCTCAAGACTCCAAAAGGGTATAAAAATCACTCTGCTACCCATGCCAGGCTGTCAACTGTCCCAGAACCGATGCTGAGTCACTTTGCTTCTGATTCCTAAATAAATGGAGAACTTTCCTGCAACCTGCCTCCAAATTCATTGGCTCCTGTGTCTTTCTCTCAGCTTGGAACCAGACTGGATTTTACTACCAGCACCTACTTCCTAAGGTTGAGAGAAAGAATGAGTGGCCCAAGGTCACCCTGATAGTTTTGCACCTAAGATGGGACTAGATCTCACACTAATCTAATTAGAAAATGACTTGAGGCATGAATGTTCATGAACAAGCACTCCCCCACCCCTGTCCAGGAATGGGTGTAATTGCAGCAGCCCGCATGGTTTTGTGCAGACCTCAGTATGCACATGTATCACCTCTCCTGTGGGAACTGCCTTGGTTGCCGATTTGCTTCTGGGTGCAATTCAAGGTGCTGCTTGTAACCTTTAAAGCCCTTCATGGCTTGGGACCAGGTTATCTGAGGGACTGTCTCTTGCCGGTCATATCTACCCAACCCACTGGAGCAGGGAGGCAGGGAATGTTGCGGGTCCCATACCTGAGGGAGATACACCTGGTGGGGCCCAGAAGAAGGGCCTTCTCCGTGGTGGCTCCCTCTCTCTGGAACATCATTTCCCCAGAGATTAGAATGGCCACCACTCTAACACTCTTCCGGAAGGCGCTGAAGACCTGGTTCTGCCAGTACGCCTGGGGAACCCAGAACGGGATGGAGCCCATTAAATGGCTAGTATGAATGTGCGTTGTCGCCAGGATGCGGGGGTGGGGGACAGTGTGGGTTTCACTTACCTTTGCTACCGGTTCTTCTGCGCGTGCGCAGAGCGTATTTGATGATGTCTGGGATGGGCAGAGCCTCCCGCTGCCGCTACTACCGGTTCGCCTAAATCGGGGCGAACCGGTAGCAACCCACCACTGGTTGGGGAGGGGTGTTATTATTTTATTATTTTTCTTTTTATTCTTTTTATTTCTTTTACATACTGTTTTTATATCCTTGTAAGCCGCCTTGAGTCACCATGTGTGAGTAGACAGCAATATAAATTTTCTAAATAAATAAATTGTCATAAAGATGAATTTGTGCAACAAATCCTGGAGGACCCCCCAATTATGCACCAAGTCTGTCTTGGTACCTCATCCAGAGTCAGAGAGAACGATTGATGAATTGTCTTGTACATCCGTAGGCTGCAGCACCTATACCAGTGATGGCTAATCTTTTTGCCATCACGTGCCAAAAGCAGAGGGAGTGTGGATGGGGGTGTCGCACGCACGTGTTCCCACACTCATAATTCAATGCGACCCTGCATGCACGACCCCCGCTGCACTCCCCCTGCTTTTGGCACGCGATGGGACGGTGGGTCTGGTATGCCCATTGTTCACCCTCTCCAGGCTCCAGAGCCTTTCTAGGAATCTGGGGAGGGCAAAAACTGCCTTCCCCACCCCCCTGGAGGCCCTCCAGAGGCTGGAAATGGCCCGTTTCCCAACTTCTTGTGGGACCAGCAGACACATTTTTTGCCCTCCCCAGGCTTCAGAAGCTTTCTAGGAGTCTTTGGTGGGCGAAAATGGCCTTCCCCATGCCCCCAGAGGCCCTCTGGAAGCCAGAAATAGCCCATTTCCCGACTTCCAGTGAGCCTGGAAGGCCTGAAAACCAGCTGGCCAGCGCATACATGTGTGCTGGAGCTGAGCTAGGGCAACGCTCATGTGCCCACAGATATGGCTCTGTGTGCTACCTATGGCACGTGTGCCATAGGTTCGCCTTCACGGACCTATACTTTGGAGACAACCGATTGCTGATGGAAAGATATGGCAAAGACAAAGTTTCCAATAAAGGGCATTAGGAAGGATCCATAAATCACAATCTTTGCCACAAACTAACAAAGTGCAAACTCATCAAAAGCCCTTTTCAGTTCAATGGTGTTTATTGCCAGAGTAACTAGGCAAAGGACTCCTTTATACCTTCACTTTTTCCTTAGCGCATATTGACAGAAGCTATTAAGTGCCTCTTTGCAGTTTGCAGTAGTTTTCTTCTGTCCAATCTGTTATGAGTACAATTTCCAAAAAATCTTTTGTCCCCAAGAGCATAACAGCAAATATAAAACAGCTTTCCAATGATTTTTTTTTTTAATGAAATAGTCATCACTAGAGGAAGAATTGTACAAGGCAAGGTCATTAGGGAGAAACACCTGGTCCTGTGACTTCACGAGATTAAAGTCCATGGTTTAAAACAAAACGCCAGCAGTGATTTATAAGGGGTTATTCCCCCTGGTAAATCAGAATAGTATAGTAAGGAATGAAGAAGCAAAAAGTTGTTTTTCACACTTTAACTGTACCCAACTTTTAATATCTATAAAGCAACATTTTAAAAAACTGACAAAAGTAGTAATTCCTACCTCTTCAATTGTAATGTAATGTAGTCAAGTTATTCATGGCAATACTTTACTTTTTAATAATGATAATAATTATTTATTAGATTTATAGGCTCCCTGACTCTCAGTAAAGCATATTTAAGAATGTAAACAAAGAAAGGGGGAAGAATATTTACAAACTATAAAATTATAATACAGTAATTTACTACCTATAAGAAAAAGAGAGAAACATCCCTTATTCTAGCAGAAAAACTTTCTGCGAATAACATAAAATTGGAAGGAAACATAATCATAAATCAGGTTGGCACTTTTTAAAATGTTCATAGTTTTTGATTGACAAAGACAGTCAGAATAATAATTAGCAGTCAAAATAATCATAAGGATATCTAACCTTCCTAAAGCAGACTATCCATAACTGTATGATCAATTAGACAAAACCTGTTGTTTTAAGACTTTTAAAGAGAAATCCAGATTTCAGATGTCTACATGGAGTATTATAGTCCACAAAGTTTTAAATTAAATTAAATTTAAATGTAATTAATTGGACCTACCACAAACCCAATAGTATTAAACAGCAGAAATACCTCTAGCTTGCCACCTTGTGGCGATAGGCCATCATTGCTTTTTTTTTTTGTCTCTATCATAAACCAGTTAAGAATCCACAAGGTTGCATCCAAACAATATGTTAAGTTACCTTATCTTTTAACATGAATTCCTGGTTCACATAATACACAAAACATGAGTTACTTTGTTTTAATTTAGCCATAATAGTGCGTAAAGCCTGACTGTGAGATCAAGATGGAATGTCTTTCATCTGTAAAGTTCAATACACTCTTCCCTTTAACAACCAATTAAATCCAATGATGATCAGAAACATTGTCTCTTTCTGATGATTGGGAAACATTCACAAACCAAAAGAATACTTCCACAAAGGATATCCATGCTGAATCCATCTCTCCATTTCATTTGGAGGAATTTAACATTTTTTAAAAAAGAGGAATTTCCTAGCCGAGGAACAATAATTTGAATGCAATTTTAAAAGAAACTCTAAGACACCCTCCAATAAATAGACCTTTAATGCATAAAGGCAAAAGCAGTAGCTGTTTTGAGCTATGCTACCTGGGAATGCTGGAAGTTATAGGTCTCAACAGATCTGGAGGAGGTTGGCTATTAGAGCTCACATCCTGGACATAAATTGTTTCAACTTCTACCGTGTTTCCCTGAAAATAAGACCCTGTCTCATATTTTTTTTGAACTCTCAAATAAGCGCTTTGCCTTATTGCCATGCGCTCAAAAGCCTGATTGGGCTTATTAGCAGGGGATGTCTTAGTTTTGGGGAAACAGGGTACCCTCAAAATGATGCTATAGAGCTCTGCACACCAGAACAACAAGACAACAAGACAACAAGACACAAGGATGCCATCCAAATGCCATCACTCTGCTAAACAACCAATTCCCACAACACTGACAACATGGTCAAATTAACTACTAAGACTATATTACTACCTGTTTTCCCCAAAATAAGACCCAACCAGAAAATAAGTCCTAGCATGATTTTTCAGGATGCTCATAATATATATATATATTGACGAATATATATATATATATATTTATGTACACTGAGAGCATATGCACTAAAGACAAATTCCTTGTGTATCCAATCACACTTGGGCAATAAAGAATTATATCTATTCTATCTATAAATACTTTGCTTTGACTACCTGTATATATAGATTCTGAAGAAAGGACTTCTGAACAAAATGATAGAATTACCGTATTTTGCGGAGTAGAAGATGCTCCGGACTATAAGACGCACCTACCTTTTTTTGGTGAGAAAAAAAGAAATCTGCCTCTGCCTCCCAGCAATTTTGCCTCATTGCAGCAAACAGCAAATAGCCTGCTTTACTTTCATTTTTGTTTTCAGCAGCTTGATTAGCACAAGAAAAAAAAAATCTGCTCCCAGCAAATTACCTCCTTGCAGCAAGCAGCAGAGGCCTGCGCAGCAATAGGCAATGGCAATCCCTGCAGCCTGAAACAGCTGAGAGTCGGGAGGCTGATCCAAGGGACGATCAACTTGTGCTAATTAGGTTGTGCTGAAGCTGAAATGGGCTGTTTCTTCTTGCAGCTTGCTGCAAGGAGGTAAATTGTTGGGAGGCAGAGGCCAAAGGGTGGGAGCCAGTGGGAAGGGCTACATTCGGTGTATAAGATGCACCCAAATTTTCACCCCCTTTTAGGGGGGGAAAAGGTGCGTCTTATACTGCGAAAAATACCGTATATTCAAACAGGCACTTTTTGAATCTTTACAGCACGAAGACTCAACAAGTTTTTAGAGTGACCCAGGGTAAAATATTTACTTCTCTAGTTTTCGTTATGATGTCCTGTTAATTTGTTTCTCCAGTTTGGGAAGGGGCGATGTCAAACTGGCTCTTGTGCCCCAGATCTACAGTGCCATTCATGGCCCTACATGTGGTGTTGGTCCTTCCTGGAACTTAAAACCTTTCTCCTAGACTAGGGCAGAGGTAGAATGGATTTCACAAAATAAAACATTTTGTTCCCAGAGCACCAAGCAGGCAGGACAGTCCTCTCTTCTGGTGAACTTTATAAAGAGTCCATGGGAATCAAAGTCCAGCTTGTGTATTTTTGACCGGTTATTGACCCCCCCCCAAAAAAAGAAGTCCTACCGGACAGTGTCCTCTTGATGTGATTAAGACACAGAAAAAGCAGCTTATCACTCACCCCGCCCCCAATTTGGACAATCTCCAGGGAGAATTGTCTACCTGAAGGAGATGTTTACGTCAAAATCGCCTCCCTTCTTTGTTCTTCAGAGCCTGATGTTGAAAAAAAAATCAGTGCTGTCACTCCACCCATTTTGGCAGCTGAGAGCAACGACAAATACATTTATGCTGGACTTAAGGTTGAAGTCCATTTTCATAGGATGTGTTTGTTTTTATGGTAGTGGGAGAGAGAGAGAGAGCAGGTTGTTTGCATGGAGTCCAGCCAAGGCCTTGGTGCCTGAACATTTTGCTCTCCGAATGCATCATTACCCTGCAACCTTGAAAAAGAAAAAAAAAGTAGGGCTACTACTAAGAAAGACTCAGCAGTTTGTTGTAATTCCTCCAGTTTTGTTCCCATGTAACCTAGGACAGGGGTCTCCAACCTTGGCAACTTTAAGCCTGGCGGGCTTCAACTCCCAGAATTCCCAGCAAAGCTGGCTGGGAATACTGGGAGTTGAAGTCCGCCAGGCTTAAAGTTGCCAGGGTTGGAGACCCCTGCCCTAGGAGATCAGTTAGACTCAGGACTTGGGAGGGGAGCAAAATCACACTGGCCTCCGCATTATTCTATCAAAGTGATAATTCAATATTTGAAATGAACAGAGGGATCTGGACCAGTGTTTTTCTTCTTAGACAAGAAGGTGTCCGTCATGGAAAGAACTTTGATAATACTCCTTTTTGCATAGACATTAGTAACAGAGATACTGATAGCGGTGGTCATTTTGTGTGTGTCTGTGTGTATATGATTAGCAATAGAGAGGGAGAAAACTGGTTCTTCAAGTTTGTGGTACTGTAAGCTTTGAATTCCCCTAAAGCATGTTCCTGAAGAAGATACACATTTCTGCCTGCACTGTAGTCAATTCCTTCCTTTCTTAAATTGCTGTCCAAAATACTTCCATTTTTTTCAGAACAAACTTTCAAAGAAAAGGCATGTTAACTTCGTGAGAAGTAGCTCCCTCTGACTGCTAGTCACCACTTCAGGCCACTGTTGCTAAAATCATATTATACAATTATATTTAATACTTTATTCATCCTAGATTTGATAGTGGAGTTGTAGTAGTTTCTGACTTTCTGTGGAGCAGTGTAGGGTCCAGCATCATTCCCCTGCAAATAATTGGCACTGGTCACTTCCAAATCTTCAAGCCAAAATAGCAATCTATCCACCATTCCAGAATTAGCAGACAATCTCATATGATTGTCTGTGTTTGATACTAGAATCATATTATTTCTGGCTCAGCTACACTACAGAGCCGGTTTGATGTAGTAGCATCAGGCTAGAAACCAGGAGGTTGTGAATTCTAGTCCCGCTTTAGGTATGAAGCTGCAGTGTATCTTAAATGCCAGGGTTGGCATTGTTTTTAATCATGGGGCCAAATTTATATATATCTTTTTAATTGTATTTTAATGTTTGTAGTTTATGCTTTTACTTGGCTGTTCACCGCCCTGAGTCCACAGGGAGAAGGGCGGTATACAAATTTAAAAATAAATAAATAAATAAATAAAATACCGCCCCCCCCCCAAGTAATGTTTTTGTTTGCAACAATGCATCTTTGCAGGGTTTCTGAGTGGGCTGCTTTCCCCCTGGTAGAAACTTTACTCGTCTGCTTCCTATGTTCATTTTGGGTTCTGACCCAATCCTGAAAGAGTCAGGCAAAATAGGTCTTCCAAGTGCCAAGAAGTATAGCAGCTTTGTTATTTTGCATCTTCCCCTCATAGTAACCACTCAGCTGTCCCAAAAGTGCTTTTTCAAGAGGCAACTGGACTTTCTTGTTTTTCTTTGAAGACATTTCGCTTCTCATCCAAGAAGCTTCTTCAGCTCATGAAGATGGATGACTGAGAATCTTCATAGACATTTAGCTAACCATTCAGCTGTTTTAAGATTACCAAGCAATAATACAACATGAGTTAAACCTAACGGATGAAGAGAAATATCGACTGAATGCCATTCTTTGCTATTGATTAGTTGGAACGACTGCTGACTGTCTTACGGGATTTTCTAATGTGTTAAGAATTGCCGGCAATGAAGATGTTCACAGAACAAATTCCTTTCAAGGCAGGAGAAGGAATAGTAGCAGTTGTGTAATAATACCAATAAGTTATTTTAGTAGCTTTTCATTATAGTGAACAATTATTATGTCTGCTTTTTTAAGAATTTGAGATGATCTACCTCCAATGGTGGTATTCAGCCGGTTCTATCTGGATCGCGCAATCCGGTAGCGGCGGCTGCGGGAGGCTCCGCCCACCCGCCTGGACGCCATCACGTCCCGTTTTTTGATGCTCTGCGCATGACCGCATGCTCACATTTGCGAACTGGTAGCGAAGGTAAGTGAATATCACCCCTGTCTACTTCTAAATAACAACAAGTAGGAAGCAAGAAGGAAGTCAGCTAGTCGTGAGCTTCCTACGTCGGGGAAACCACGTTAGACTATTTAGAGTTCGTTTGCTCCTGTCAGACACATTTTATGGGCTGGATGCATCATTTTGGTAGAAAAAGGAACCAGGCAACATTTAACAGATTAACAGAGTTGGAAGGGACCTTGAAGGTCATCTAGTCCAACCCCCTGCCCAAGCAGGAGATCCTACATCTGCCTCTATGTAGGATCGAATTCACAACCTTCTGATTGTAAGGTAAGAGCTATACCTCTAGGCCACAGCAGAAACATTTCTTAAACAACTTTCAAGTAAGAACACATTAATGATACCTCACTTCTTTATAGCAATACTGTTGATGCCAAATGACATTTTTATATACATGAGCCACATTTTATTTCCCAATGGAGCCAGAAGCAACCACTAGAGTGCTGTGCAAAATCTTTATTTACTAAAAAAAAAAAAGGGGGAGCATTCTATTCCTTCTTCAGACGCCATCCTTTAAATTATCTTTCTCCGACCTGGTGTGTTCTCCAGTTTTGTTGAAATTACAACTCTCACAATGACTAGCCATTAAATTAGTCCCTTTGTATGAGACAAAGGGGGTGACTTTTCAACATTCAATTGTTTAAATATGATTTTATTTGCTTAAAAAAAAACACCAGCACCACCAAAGCACAGTAGGAATCAAAATACCTTAGATGCAGTAACAGCTTCCCCACCCCCAGACTTTGCATTTTCAATGTAGGCACCCCTATGGTTCAAATGAGGCAGGGGGAAAAAAAAGAGAATAAAACGAAACAACAGGAAAGGCAGCGAGAGTTTATGAAGATTTCAATGGAGGAATGGTCATATTCCTAAATCAACAAAGTCTCATCCTCAAGAGTTCTGACGAGCTATTTACAACGAAGAGTGCACATTTTAAGGCCCTAGGCCTTAAACTGCCTGAGAATAATCAAGTCTGAATTCCGAAATGGCAAGTCAGTAACAGATAAGTCTATTGGATGAATAAGCCTGACAGGCAGAAGATCTCTTTTTATTCTGGAAAGGAAAAATGCAGAGGTCAGTCCTTATTCGCCAAGGGTAAGTGGGGAGCAGGATGGTTAAAGGACAGGATATGTGCAAAAAGCTGTAACTGCTACATCATTTCTGTTCACTTCTGAAGCAGAGATCAACATTGCCTAGGAAATTGTCAAAAAGCCCCAATGGTCACCTTAAAAGCAAGTCTACAGCAGGATCAACCTTGGAAAATGGCAAGAGAAATCAAGTAATTCCTTGGAAGGCCCAGTTGTGGATGGCTTGCATCAGGATCCATTGTCCATCGCTTCTGAACTTGGTCTCTAGTGAGGCTGACTTAAAAGGCCTCACTGCTTCTGGGGATTCGCCAGGTCCACGTTTCTCAGCAATACACCTTAAGCAGAGGGGCTCCAGAGGAGTCTGTCTCTGTATCTTGGAAAGAAGAACCTCTACTTAATGGGGGTCCTGCAGGGGAACGGGAGGAAACAGGAAGAGAAGAGTTATAGACATACAAAAAATAAAAGCTAGGAAAAAGCATACTGAAAGGGTAAGATGGAACAATAAAGTAACCGTGGCTGCATAATATCAGTGGTGGAATTCTATTTTTTTAATTACAGGTTCTGTGGGCGTAGCTTGGTGGGCATGGCAGGGGAAGGATACTGCAAAATTCCCATTTCCACCCCACTCCAGGGAAAGGATATTGCAAAATCTCCATTCCCACCCCACTCTGGGGCCAGCCAGAGGTGGTATTTGCCGGTTCTCCGAACTACTCAAAATTTCCGCTACCAGTTCTCCAGAACCTGTCAGAACCTGCTAGAACCTGCTAAATAGCACTCCTCCTGCGTATATAATTTCCCCCTAATAAAAATGTCTCAGAACCTGTTTCAGCAGATTCTGACCAGTTCTGGAGAACCGGTAGCGGAAATTTTGAGTAGTTTGGAGAACCGGTAAATATCACCTCTGACTGGCCCTGCCCCCATCTATTCTCTACCTCCCAACTCCCAGCTGATCGGGAGGAAATGGGGATTTTGCAGTATCCTTCCCCTGCCACGTCCACCAAGCCACGCCCACCAAGCCACACCCACAGAACCAGTAGTAAAAAATTTTGAATCCCACCACTGGACTGCAAATGGTAACTATCAGGTTTATAAGTGCTAAAAAGGAGATCAGAAATGGCTTCCTTAAACATCTTTTCTTTCTTTTTTGCTTTGCTTTTTGCTGACCTTCACTTTTTCCCATTCTTTTTAATTTGTTTTCTTTTTTTCTACCCTTTTGTAACTTTTTAATCTTACGTAAAATTCTTTTTCAATAACCCACACACGCATGCACACACGATAAGACAGGAAGCCACTCATGCGAGCGAAGAGGAAAAAACAACAACAGTCAAACGGTGCAAATTCCAACAAATGTAAACAGTTGAAATAATGGACAAGAGAAATACATAGTACAGTCCTCGATTTCTGTTCTTTTAGCAGCGTAATCCAGGTGCTGCATTCAAGAACTGAGATGCTGAGAAAAATGGTCCTGCTTGTTTTGGTTGAAAAGGAAAACCCTTCTCAGCGTTTTAAAAATCCCATTTCTGCTTGTCGAGAGAAAGAACACTAAAGCCTCAGAAACTCCAAGACCTTGAACCACATTCCATTGATCTCCCATTGCCCATTTGTAAGAGACTCTCTGTAGCCAAGAGAGTGGGATGTATGCTTTAAAACCAGAAAGATGAATAGCTCACATTCTCAGCCAGCTTTAACCACGCCGTGGTGATGGATACCCAGCCCTGTTTATACCTGCCCCAAGAGCCCATGTTAAACCAAAGAAATTCACCCAGCCATTCCCACGTCCAGCTGAGAGGGTATAGCTCCAGGGGTGGGCTTCAAAAATCTCAGCAACGGGTTCTCTGTCTGGTTGCTGGGGGGGCGTGGCCATAGTGGGTGTGGCATAGTTGGCCTCCTGCACCACGGTGGGGGGGGGCATTTTCACCCTCCCCAGGCTCTGGAGGCTTTTCTGGAGCCTGCAGGAGAGTGAAAATGACCTCCCCTGGGCTCCGGAGGCTGGAAATGGCCTGTTTCTGGCCTTCCGGAACTTCCAGGAGGCCCATTTTTCGCCCTCCCAGAGCCTCCAGGCGAGCCCTGTACTTACCTGGCATCTAAAACAGGCTGCGTGGAGACTCCTGGGAGGGGCGGGGACAGGGAGGGGTGGGTGGGGTGGAGGGCCAGCCAGGCATGGGATTTGGGGCTTCACTGAACTGGGCAGAATCCTAGCTAGAGGATCGCCCGAACCTGAACCCGTGCGAACCCCCAGCAGCACACCCCTGTGTAGCTCAACCAAGCCATTATAGAAATAGTAGCGATGTCTTTTGAGTTAATCTCAACTCCTGGGAGGTACACGAAGACATCCCTTTGATTCCCTTGGGAACAACGAGGACATGTTTTGTCCCCTTTAGCATGGTTAAGTGTCCTTCAAACCTAGCTAAGGAGCACTGTTGATGTAGCATCAGGTGCTTCAACTCTCCAGGTAAAGAGTAAAACAGCCACCTGGCTTCTTTTCAAAACAGGCCTGGGCAAAATGTTTACTGCCTGATAAAACACAGTTAAAAATCACTGCTTCAATAAGAACTAGAATCTTTTCCTCTTGTTATATTTTGGCCTTTATCAAGGGGCACTAGTAAAAAATAAGATTCAATTTTTAAATTCTTTTTTTCCTTATTCATTTTTAATCTCTATTTTTTAAAACAAAACAAAACAAAATCCACTGCTTATCTTCTGACTGCATTAGACTGTAGTTAAATGGGAATGACAAGATCATTTTTCCAGTTTTCTTGGTATGAAGAAACTTGGGGGGCGCTAGAAGTAGGCTTTGGATGAGGACTGTGACCTGACTTCAATCTGAGTGCCCAAAGTGAATTCGGAAGTTTAGAATTAGCTAGTTGTCTGATCACCTATATGTTTTACCCAGGTCTGAACCCTGTTCTTTATGGGTCACTCTGCTCTATTTCTCACTTGACTTCATTGGGGTGGCTTCAGGACTATAGTAAAAGCTATAGAAAGACCCTGCACTATTGAGGCATTCTCTCAATTATTTTAAAAGGGGAAATATATTTATGAAAAGGAATACAGTAACATGGAAACCCTTCAGAGTCCCAGGCAAGCAATGAGCCCTCTTAGAAATAAGCAGCCATGAGGGCTAGATTCTTCCTTTTAGTAAAATCTGAAGGATTATTTACTTCCCAGTTGACATGATGGAGTCTCCATTAAAGGCCAGAGTTTATATTGCATAATATATTTGTTTATTTTCCCCCTTCCCTTGAATTTTTTGGTTATCAGGCACTGGAAAACAGAATTCAGAAATTGGAGAATTTCAGATGGCATTAAAAAGCCATGACAAGTTCCTAGCCCTTAAGGCTGTGATGCCTTAAGAAACCTCAGAAGCCAGCAGAACCTGAAGCACCTCATTACAGCATGCCAAGGACAAAATGTTCATACCTTGAATACCACTTGCCTCTCTCCATGGCTATCAGGAAAAGAATAATATTAAATTTTATGTATGTATGTATATATATATATTACAAACTATGTTATGTTTATTTATTTGTGTATATGGGCACTTGCTCATGGTTAAGACCCGGTATTACAATTGTTCAAATGGATTTAATTTAATTCTTGAGTGGTTTATTTTGTTTCGAGTGAACAGGCAAAAATCCCAGTCAAACATGATTTCAAAACTAATATTTTTGCATGTCATGATAGCTACAGGTAGTCCTTAACTTATGACCACTTGTCTAATAACTGTTCAAATTTATGACGATGCTGAAAAAAGCGATTTACAGCCAATCCTCACACTTACGCCCACTGCATTGTCCTTATGGTCACATGATGAAAGTTCAGGCGCTTGGCAACTGGCACGTATTTAAGATGGTTCCAGTATCCTTTGATCCTGTGATTATTATTTATGAGCTTCCCAGGGGGCTTCTGACAAGCAACGTCAGTGAAGAAAGTGGGATTTGTTTAATGACCCCATAATTCACTTAACAACCAGAGCAAAAAGGATATCGGATTCTTGAGATGGCGCCACTGCTGATCAAATATATTTATTGTGTGTGGGTTTCAATATGGCTGGGTTTGACATGTTTGATTTTATCCTTCATTTATTGTACACTGCCTAGAATAACTTCTTATGAGATGGCCAGTCATATAAATTTGATAAATAAATAAGCTAGTAAAGATCTAATCAGGGCAATCTTTTTAAGAGCAAAATTTCCGTAGTTATCTACCCTATCTGTATCATTTGAATTAAATCACTTGCCTACATGGGTGCTTTATTCTCAGTTACTATATATTTTAACGTTTGTATTATTTTAACTCTTTTTATTTTTTTTTAAATTTTGTTCACTGCAGAGTCACTTGGTGAGATGGGGTGGCCAATACAGAAATAAATATACACCCATTATGTCTGTGCTGTTTCAGAACTTTATGAGGGCTTAAATTAAAAAGTAGCTAAAAAATATTCTTGGCACCCGGTTATGTGATTTTCGATATCCCAAAGCAGTAAATCCCAGCACATGCAATACAGCCAAAGCAATAACATCAATGGGACATCATTCATAAGCACACCATGTCTAAGGCAGCCTTAAAAAGCTGCATTTCGGATGGCTCTCCTAAAAATCAACAGGTTGGGGGGGTCGTATAATTTTTCAGGGTGTCTATGTGCTATTCCAAAGGGGATTGTGGCTGAGGCTGTAACCAGTGGTGAAATGCAAATTATTTTGCTACCAGCTCTATGGGCGTGGCTTGGTGGGTGTGGCTTCGTGGGGGCATTAGCAATGTTGAATTCAACAATTCAATTCATGATAGCCAACACCCATAGATCTGTGTGAATGCTCAGCATGGGTGCTACACTCTAAGGCTGTGCAAAGCTCCGAAGGGGCGGGAGCCTCACTTTGACAATGCTTTGAAGTCTTCATAAAGTAACATGGGCCTTTACTTTTATAGAGCAAAACAGAACTGCCCCACTGCTTTATCCTGTTCTAGGGAGCTTCAGGAAGCACTAGCAAAGGCTTTTGTGCATATAATTCTGGGTGGGCCAGAGACAGGAGTGGGCTGCTGGGGGTTCGCAGGGGTTCGGGAGAACCTCTAGCAAAGATTCTGTGCAGTTTGGAGAACCCCCAAATCCCACTCCTGGCTGGCCCTGCCCGCCCCTCCCAGCAGTCCCCACGCGACCTGTTTTGGATGCAGGTAACTGCAGGGTGCACGCTGCGGAGGCTTGGGGAGAGTGAAAAACAGGCCTACTGGACGTTCGGGCCCATTTCTGGCCTCCAGAGGGCCTACAGATCTTGGGGAGGTCGTTTTCGCCCTCACGGAGGCTCGAGGAAAGCCTCTGGAGGGCCTCCGGAGCATGGGGAGGCAGTTTTCACCCTCACAAGGCTCGAGGAAAGCCTCCAGAGCCCGGGGAGGGCAAAAATGTCCTCCCGCCGTGGTACAGGAAGCCGACTAGGCCACGCCCACCATGGCCACGCCCATCCAGCAACCAGGCAGAGAACCCCTTGCTAAAATTTTTGAAGCCTACCCTTGGCCAGAGACCTCAAAAGCAACATAAAATGCATTAGGAATTTGGGTAAGGGGTTACCTCCACATCTAGACTAGCTGAATGAAGGTCACCTTGCACTGGTCAGAGAAATCATTGCACGAGATGGAGAAGGGGAAGCAAACCCATCAGGGCATAGATTCTCCTTGTGAAAATGCGACAGTAAATTCTGTACAACCAAAGCCAGACGAGACTTCCTTCTAAATGCAGAAAGATGGCCTCACTCTCCCAATACACGTAACTATTATTGCAGTGTAATTTGTTTTTAAAGAGAACCAGTATGGTGTAGTGGTTAAGGCACTGGGCTAGAAACTGGGAGACCAGGAGTACTAGTTCTGTTTTAGGCATGAAGCTAGCTGGGTGACCTTGAGCCAGTCACTGTCTCTCAGCCCTAGGAAGAAGCAGGCAATGACAAATCACTTCCGAAATCTTGCCAAGAAAAGTCCCTTCCCAGGGACTTCTCCAGGAAGTCACCAGGAGTCAACAATTACTTGAAGACACAATCGACCAATCCAATATAAATCAGTGCAATAACTTGGTAGAAAACCATTCGTTCTTCCTTGCAGTAGGTCAAATGGCAGATGTCTGTAAGTTTTCCCATCGGCCCATTTCTTTCGTGAAAGTAACCGTGGCCCAACCATTGTAAGTCCTCAAACCCCAAACATCCTAAAATATGTCAAGAAAACTCACCTGCTATGTTGTAGGCACCTTGCCTCATGTTTCTGGCTTGCATATCTGCTGTCGTTTCTACTGATATCTGCACAGGTAAATCTGAAAGGCAGTTAGCAGAGAGGTTGGCATTTGAATAGACGCCCCAACTCAGGTGGGTCAGGTGACGTATCTTTGGATTCGCCTGAGAGTGTCAACTAAAGTGACAAAAATGTTGGATCAGTTATGGATGCCAGGCAGAGGAATGCTTCGCAAAGAGCAATAGACTTTGCTCCCTGAAGGTCAGGATCCAGGGAAGAAACTGTTTACTCAGAAGCAGTCAAACGAGAAGACATTATCCTGCTGTCACAGCAGGGGGAAATGCTCCCAGTTCGGACCGGATCGCCTGATCTGGTAGCGATGGCGGCGGGTGGTTCGGAGAACCAGTAGCAAAAATCCCTGCCTCCCCCCATGCCCAGCTGAGCCGTGCGATCATCAGAGGCTTTTTTCTTTTTTACTTTTAAAAGCAATTTTTTCAGCTGAAGAAAAAATGCTTTGAAAAGTAAAAAAAAAAAAGCCTCTGAGCCTTGCAGCTCAGCTGGGATTGTCAGAGTCTTTTAAAAGCATTTTTTCTACAACCTCTTCGGTTGAAGTAAAAAAAGTAAAAAGTAAAAGTAAAAAAAAAAAAAAAAGTTGGCCACGCCCACCCAATCACATTACTTCCTCAAGCCACGCCCACAGAACCGGTAGTACATTTCACCACTGTGTCACAGGTTTGATCTTTTATCTAACAGAGGAGGTTTAATTTCATAGAGAACTGAACCTTTCCATTGTAAAATGGGAATCCCAGACTGAGAGAAAGGCTGGGCACCAGATGGGACTGTAAAATATGTACAGGTAAGTCCTCGATTTACAACTGCTCACTTAATGACCATTCAAAGTGACAACAGCACTGAAAAAAAGTGACTTATGACCATTTTTCACACTTACGACCATTGCTGCATCCCCATGGTCACATGATTTACATTTGGATGCTTGACAATTGACGCACATTTGTGACCATTGCAGTGTTCTGGGATCATGTGATCACATTTTTGCAAACTTCTGAAAAGCAAAGTCAACGGGGAAGCCAGAGTCACTTAACGTTACTGTTATTCATTTAACAACTGCAGGGATTCACTTAACAACTGCAGCAAGAAAAGTTGTAAAATGGGGCAAAACTCACTTAACAAACTTCTCACTTAGCAACATAAATTTTGGGCTCAATGGTGGTTGTAAGGTGAGGACTACCTGTATAAAGTCTTCATTTAGTTAACTGCCTCATTTAGGGGCCATTCACAGTTACCATAGTGATAAAAAGCAACTTTGCAACCAAACCTCACATTTACAATTTTGTAAAGCAAAGGAAAGCTGCAGTTAAGATCACAAGCACAGCTGTGGCTTCCACTCAGTGACCGCTTCGATTAGTGACTGAGTTGCCGGTCCCAATTGTGGTTGGTAAACACAGACTACTGGTAACAACAACATTAAAGCAGCTGCTGGTGCAAGCATAGTTCCCAGTTGAAGTCCAAGTATTTTTTGCAAAAGGGTATTTCTTCTCAGAGCAAAAAATACGCCTGCAGCACCAAATGCAGGGGTGAAATCCAGCAGGTTCTGACAGGTTCTGAAGAACCGGTAGCGGAAATTTTGAGTAGTTCGGAGAACCAGCAAATACCACTTCTGGCTGGCCCCAGGAGTGGGGAGGGAATGGGGATTTTGCAGTATCCTTCCCCTGCCACGGCTACCAAGTCACGCCCACCATACCATGCCCACAGAACTGGTAGTAAAAATATTTGGATTTCACCACTGACCAAATGCAATTCCTTCTTTTCAGTTATTATGTTTCGTGGGACCATAAATGGACCTTCTCTCAGAATCCTTCCCCCCCCCAAAAAAAATCATTGATTTGCTTTGGAGCTCAGCCGATGACCCTCTTGATGCTCTGGGAGGAAGGCGGGCTGCTTATTCTGCCCTGGAAGGAAACGCTGCAGTCTGCTGTACCTCTTCTGAGAACATTCTGTGTCCTGTGTAGGAGGATCCTGGGGGAGGTGGGTGACCTACAGTGTCCCAATTCTCCGTTGCAAAACTGCCCCCCCATTGCAAACCTAGATGCAATGGAGCCTAGGTTTCCATAGATATATCTGTTTGGGGTACCAAAAAGAACAGAACCTTGTTTTTCTTTGTTTTTTCAGAGGAATGAGGGCCTCAGGAGAGATCTTCCTCAAGTCAGTGGTGGGATTCAAATTGTTTTACTACGGGTTCTATGAATGTGGGTTGGTGGGTGTGGGTTGGTGGGGGTCATGTAACTGAGTGGGCATGGCCAACTCGACATCACTCATGGCAAGATGGGGTGAGCAGTGAGCAGGTGGGCGGGGCGAGTGGCGAGGGGGCCAGCCAGAGGTGGTATTTGCCGGTTCAGCGAACCAGTTAAAATTTCCACTATTGGACAAGGACAAAGCAGGGTTTCTTTCTTTAATTTTTAAAGCAACAGTGAAGTTGATAGACTGATTGTCCAATATCAGTATTGAACTTGGTAGCCAGATCAGCTGTATTCTATAATCAGCAGTATCAGCCACATTCTATGATCTTCTGCTTTTTAAAAAAAATAATAAACTGGAAAAAAAAAATTCCACTATTGGTTTGCCCGAACTGGTCCGAACTGGCTGAATAACACCTCTGCTCAAGATCCATATTCCCATCTGTGCATCCCACCTCCCCATCATTTGCCCTACTTTTGGACCCCAACATCACCTCCTCTCAATGCTGCCATCACCACTGCTTCCCTGAACAACCATTTCTATCCATGTAGGCAGTGCCTGGTCCCAGGCAGCCCGTGCCAGCTTCTGCCTGGGCACTGTAGCCTGTGGGCTGTGCCCCAGGGTTGAGAAAAGAGCAGGACGATACTTGTACCAAGGCAGCCTGGGAAATGGAAAAGCAGCGTGCCCAGACAGCAGCTGCTGTTGTTCAGAAATGTTGATGCTCTCCTAGGTTGCATTTTGCATTCCAGGGAAGCAAGTGGTAATTCATTTGTATATATGCAAAATCCTTGTTGCAGAATAGAACTGTCTTCTACTGAGATGAATACCCTGTAGAATTTGAGGCAGTACGCTTTAATTACCTATGTCTGTATGTAAAGCTAGGCAAATCTAAGACTCATTCTGTGAACGGTTATGCGTGCAGGGTAACAAATGGCCCCACATGGGTATTGCTGACTTGATCAGTGAGAAAACAGCACCGCGCTCCCAGCTGCTCTGGGTGTGACATGAGAAATATGGAGGGCCACATGATTAGCCCAGGGGTGAAATGCTTCCGGTTTGGACCGGTTCGGCCGAAGCGGTAGCGATGGCGGCCGATGGTTCGGAGAACCGGTAGCGATGGCTGCATGAGGCTCTGCCCACCTACCCAGTCATCATTACTTCCTGATTTTAACCAGGAAGTAACCTGTTTTTTACCCTCTGCGCATGCGCAGAAGGGTTTGAGCATGTGCAGAGGGTCCCCATGTGCATGTGACATGTGCACTTTCGAACCGGTTGGGAAGATAAGTAGATTTCACCCCTGGATTAGCCTCACCCCTAAAGTCATGTGCTTCCTTTTTAGCCTCTCTCAAAATGGTACCCTGCAAATAAATGGCCCCCCCAAAATGACCACCTATAGTTTCCCCAGCTATGCTGGTTGAGGCCAGTGGAAGTTGTAGCTTGACACAATTGAAGGATGTCTATGCAGATTCTCAGTCATCCAGGTCATAGTTGTCCCAAAGGTGCTTTATTTTTTCCAAGAGGCAACTGGACTTTCTGGTGTCTCTTGGAAGACATTTCGCTTCTCATCCAAGAAGCTGCTTCAGCTCTGACTGGATGGTTGGGGAATGGAAGGATTCAGTCATCCATTCAGTCAGAGCTGAAGAAGCTTCTTGGATGAGAAGCAAAATGTCTCTGAAGAAAAACGAGAAAGTCCAGTTGCCTCTTGAAAAAAATAAAGCACCTCTGGGACATCTGAAGGATGTTACCTTTAGTGAAAAGTTATGCCGGAAAGTTTTTCTATTCATTTGCCCTACAGAGATTTGATTCACGCAGAAGAGAAAGACATAGATGTGTTTCACATTATAACACATACAGGTAGTCCTCGACTTACGCCCACAATCGAGCCCAACATTTCTGTTGCTACATGAGACTGAGTGAGTTTTGCCCCACTTTACCACCTTTCTGGCCACGGTTGTTAAGTGAATCCCCGCAGTTGTTCAGTTAGTAACACAGTTGTCACGTGAAACTTGCTTCCCCATTGACTTTGTCAGAAGGTCACAAAAGGGGATCCCATGACCCCGGGACATTGCAACCGTCATAAATATGAGTCAGTTGCTGAGTATAGAATTTTGATCATGTGACCATGGCGATGCTGCAATGGTCGTAAGTGTGAAAAACAGTCCCAAGTCACTTTTTTCACGGCCATTGTAACCAGTAGTGATTTTCACTTACCTTCGCTACCGGTTCAGAATTGTGAGCGTGTCTGTGCACGCGCTCGCTTCGCTTGCGCATGGTGCTTCTGCACATGTGCAGAACCTTCTGCACATGCGCAAAGCGTCCATGATGACGTCCGGGTGGGTGGGCGGAGCCTCCTGTTGCCACCGCTACCGGTTTGCCCGAATCGGGGTGAACCGGTAGAAACCTACCACTGATTTTAATGGTCACTAAACAAACTGTTGTAAGTCGAGGACTACCTGTACTCAGTACTGCCCTATATGTGGCACTCCAAATTGTGGTGTGTTTGGTTTCCCCCCCATTTGGTACCATGTTCTAACCCTAAAACTGAAGTTCATGCATACCTTCTTCACTAGTGAGGACAGATGCCAGCATAGTTTCATTGGCGCTATGAAGTGGGTTGCCCCGGCTGGTGATCTCTCCTGAACTTGGGAGATTCGGGGCAGGGACACGGGGTCGGACCCTGCTTTTCCGTGTGCTGATGCGTATGATGCCCCGGACCAGCCTACATTCGGCATCCTGCTCATCCAAATTGTAGTCCTGAGTAATGCTGTTGATGAGGTCTGAAATCTTGTTGGTCTTCTCCAGGAAGGCCGTGTCGGAGGTACACTTGGCCAACTCATCGATTTGGTGGACGCTGAAAAGCTCGGTGAGTTTCCGGAAGATGAGGCCGTCAATCTCCCTACTGGACATGGAGCTGTTGAGCTCGCCAAACTCAAGATCGGACTCGTGGAAGGAATAATGTTCCTCAGAGCTTCGGTGGCTAGTCGGGGCAGGTTGCTTCTCAATGCTGTGTTGAGGGAACCTCTCTGGCAGAGGTTCCTTGTAACATGAATCGGAGTCTGTGGCAGAGCTAGGGTTCCGGTTGGGATAAAGCGGGACCGGGACCCCTTTAAATTTCACATCAGGGTAGCTAAAACTGCTTCCCACTGTACTCTTCTCAGTTCGGCTCCCGTTCTTTTCATTGGGGGAACTGTTGGCCGGACTGTTAGTTGAACGTCCATTGCACTCCTGGTTCTTCCCATCCTCTGTCAAGGTACTGTTGTAGGAGATGCTGGCTCGGCAGTCCTTGAAGCAGCTCCCGCAGGTGATCAGGCAGCAGAAGATGGCTTTGGAAGTGTTCCAGACCTGGGAAAGACTGGGACAGCATGGGGGCGGGGGACTCTCTGCAGGTCTAGGGATGAAGGTATTTGTCTCGCCTTCCCCTCCGTGGGAATCGTTGGAATCCGTTTTGTAGGCTCTTCTATCCCGCCTGGGCCTGCGGATGTATTTAAGCTCCGGGGTAGAGCCGTTAAATACTTCCAGGCTAATATCACTTGTCCTAGGAGAACTGATCCTCTGTGGGACTGCAACATCTTGAGGGGGCCTTTGTTTCTTTCCCAGCATGACTCACCTCCCCTAAAAGACCTGACAGAAAGAAGAAAAACACAAGAGAGAATTATTCCACATATGATCAGATCAGAGCTATCCAAACTGGGATATAATAAAGACCTTTATTGCTCCCTTCTAAGAGATAAGCCTTCCCTCTATCATCAGTCAGAATAGAACTGGAAGGGACCTTGGAGGCCTTCTAGTCCAACCCCCTGGTCAAGCAGGAGATCCTATAGTAGTGATGGCTAACGTTTTTGCCATCACGTGCCGAAAGTGGGGGGGGAGTGCAGGGGGAAGTGCCACCAGATATCTGGGTCTTATTATCATATGTGGTGGACATGCGTAGAAGCAAAAAAATACTGGACAAAAATACATACATGGCTGGAAAAGATGACAAAGCAGAATACTGATTTAAAACCAGAAATATTTTTGTGGGGGTTTTACCTGAAACTTATAGTAAAGAGAATGCATATTTAATTATCCATGTATTAACTGCAGCTAGAATTGTATTTGCACAAAACTGGAAAAGTGAAGAGATCCCTACTGATGAGGATGTGATTAGGAAAATATTAGAATGTACAGAAATGAATAGATTAACATTTGCAATTAAGGAGAAAGAACAAAATGAATTGTCAGTTTTGGAAGACAATTTTCTGTTTTGCTTCTTAACTGCCACATATTTTAGCTGGGGAAGTTGGGAGGGGGTTGTTGTTGGAGCGGTAGAAAGTTAGTCATAACAACATTCCATATTCAAGGACTTTTGCCTGCGCCTGCTGCAGACTGCCTGAAGGTTGTATCCAGTTGAGTGTGAAGAGTTGATTGGACAATGTGATGAACTTGTCAGTGTGGGGCAGAGCTGTGAACTGTCAGCTGGGTGTGGAAAACCTGGAAGCTTTCAGATTCGGGTTTTCCCAGATGTGCCAACATGACATCTCTAATAAATTGGAACTTTGAGGAACCTCAGACCTCAGAGATTTATTTCGTTGGGGGTGTTCCTTGGAACCCTGACATAAAGATTATATGCCATGGGAATTATTTTAGAGAATAAAAATGGAAGTTAGAAATAAAAGAAGATCAATGAAATGTAGAAAATATGTTGAGATAGAGATGTAAACAATATGATGATTGTTATTATGACTATTAGGATTATTATGTTTAATATTATTATATTCTTATTAGAAGATATGTTAAGAGGGAGAAATGAATAGGTTTATTATGTTCAATACGTATGACCATTTTTCATACTTACGATCTTTGCAACATCCCCATGGTCACATGATCAAAATTTGAACATTTGGCAACTGGCTCATATTTATGATGGTTGCAGTGTCCCATGGTCATATGGTCAGCTTTTGTGACCTTCAGATCAGCAAAGCCAATGGGGGAGCCAGATTCACTTAACAACCACGTTATTAACTGCAGTGATTCACTTAACAAGTGTGGCAAGAAGGGTCGTGAAATGGGGCAAAACTCAGCAACCATCTCACTTAGCAATGGAAATTTGAGCTCAATTGTGGTCATAAATTGATCACATTTTCTGACTCCCTGACATGTACAATTGAGTAATACTAAGCTAAACTTAGAGGATGCAGTGGCTCACTTGGCCAATAAAGAATTCTATCTATCTATCTATTGCACCTACATTCTCTTCCCATTTTCTGAGTTATTTTACCTTTTGCTTTGCCTTCTTATGGAAGCACTGAGGATCTATGGAGCTGCTTCCTCCATGACAGAAGATCCTGTGCTTGCAGAGGGAAAAAAAAAAGAGAATCAACAGAATAACAGAATAAAATCATATAATGATGTGGCGGATAGGCTCTGATTCAGCACAGTTTCTATTTGGGGACAAACCAAAGATTATTCACAGAAAAAAAATACATGAGTTAGTTAAGAGAGATTCATGAAGAAAACTGCTCCATGCAAAACATCAAGTGAAATAATTTGGGGCTTCAAACTGAGCAGAGCGTATTTTTTTCTTCCCCACCACCAGTGCATAGCCTAAAATACTAGTCATTCTTACAACGATGTCCTGCCTTCTACCAGTAAAAAAAAAAAAAAGAATAAATTAAGTAAATGAGGTATTTGCTGCCCTTTTACGGCAGCCAAAACCATCTGCCTAAAGCAGTTGCCTCGCCCTATCAAATGGGAGAGCTGGCCACAGGGTTGAAACTGTCAAAGCAGCAAAGAATGGAATTCAGTGATCGTAAAGCCAGCAATCCCTCTCTGCATTTCCATCCTTATCTCTGCATCGCTTATGTCAGAGACCCTTGCCAAATGTGTCATTTTAGAGGTTGAGAAGGGGTGAAACCAGGGGTGAAATTTACTTACCTTCTTTACCGGTTCGGAAGCGCGCGCGCCATGCACGCAGGCATTCTGTGCATGCGCTAAAACCTTCTGCGCATGTGTAGAAGGTAAAAAAACATTACTTCCTGGTTAAAACCAGGAAGTAATGACACCCGGGTGGCGATCGCTACCGGATCGCTGAACCACAGGGAAAAATTGCTCCCGGATCAGACAGTCCGGTCCGATCCGATCCGGGAGCATTTTACCCCTGGGTAAAACAGCCAAGTTTTGTAATGTGCAATTGATTTAAAGCAGGGGTGTCAAACTCGATTTCATTGAGGGCCACATCAGGGTTGTGTTTGACCTAGGGAGGTCAGGATGGGTGTGGCCACGGTGGGCATGGCCAGCTCGACGTCATTCGTGTCGGCACCTGTCAGAGAAAGCTCTGCTAGAGAAAGCGGTCTCCCGTTTTTGGCTGCCATGGCCTCCTGCAACCCTCTGCCTAGATGAAAACAGAGCTCCGCATGCTCGGGAGCCCTTTTCTCTGGCAGAGACACCGTGGACCGACTCTTCACTGTTCTCAGGGTGGCCCCGCAGGCCAGATTTATGCACCCCTGATTTAAAGCAATGGCCATCAGGAATTTTATATGTTGCATGAAGTGCCTTATACACATATTATGTTTTCTTACGTTTGGATTTTTTTTCTTTTAAAAATGTGGGTGGATAACAGAAGGTTATTAAGAAATACTGGATTGTTGAGACGTAAGGCCAATTCTTGGCTCGGGGCTACATGAACAGCTTGGTATGCTCAGGTGTTCCTTCCTCCTCCCATGTGCGCAGAATCCTTCTCTTGCTTCAGAGTAGCTAGGAAAGTTTAGCTTAGTAAAGGTAAAGGTTCCCCTCGCACATATGTGCTAGTCATTCCCGACTCTAGGGGGCAGTGCTCATCTCCATTTCAAAGCCGAAGAGCCAGCGCTGTCCGAAGATGTCTCCGTGGTCATGTGGCTGGCATGACTCAGCACCAAAGGTGCACAGAATGCTGTTATCTTCCCACCAAAGGTGGTCCCTATTTTTCTACTTGAATTTTTTACGTGCTTTCAAACTGCTAGGTTGGCAGAAGCTGGGACAAGTCACGGGAGCTCACCCCATTACGCGGCACTAGGGATTCGAACCACTGAACTGTCGACCTTTCGATCGACAAGCTCAGCATCTTAGCCACTGAGCCACTGCATCCCTCTAAGTTTAGCTTAGTATTACTCAATTGTACATGTCAGGGAGTCAGAAAATGTGACTTCAATTTATGACCACAATTGAGCTCAAATTTCCATTGCTAAGTGAGACGGTTGCTGAGTTTTGCCCCATTTCACGACCCTTTTTGCCACACTTGTTAAGTGAATCACTGCAGTTAATAACGTGGTTGTTAAGTGAATCTGGCTCCCCCATTGGCTTTGCTGATCTGAAGGTCACAAAAGCTGACATGACCACGGGACACTGCAACCGTCATAAATACGAGCCAGTTACCAAATGTCCAAATTTTGATCATGTGACCATGGGGATGTTGCAAAGATCGTAAGTATAAAAAATGGTCATATGTTACTTTTTTCGGTGCCATTGTAACTTCAAACAGTCACTAAAATGAACTCTTGTAAGTTGAGGACTACCTGTACAGGTATATGCTGAAGAAAAACATATGGGATAGTTTGAAAAATGTAATATAGCTCAATATGGGTAGTTCTCAACCTATGATCACAATTGGAACCAGAATTTCTGTTGTTAAGCAGTGCGATTATTAAGTGAATGATGCCGGATTTTATGAACTTTTTGCCATAGTTGTTACGTGAATCATGCAGTTGTTAAGCGATTTGAGCTTCCCTCATTGATTTTGCTTGTCTGAAGCAGGCTGGGAAAATCACAAATGGTGATGACAATGTTGTGATCTAGGCTTCCTGAGTCATTAAAACACCAGAATAGTCCCAAAAACCTCTTTTATTGCAACAGCTGTGAATTACCTTCAATTACAGCTGAGTTCCAATTAGTTGCAAAAATTCCTTCGGGAGAAGTCCTTCGGAATAATCACCAACCTTTATCTCCCTTGACACGCTGCCAAAGGCCTACTAGGCAAAGCCACACGGAGTCCAGAATCAAAAAGAGATGCCGACTGGGAACAGAATTAACAACATTGCTTTCATACAAAGAGCCATGTGCCTTTGCTCCTCTTTTAAGCCTTATGGGAGGGACCAATAATCTCTAGGCCTTACTTCTGGGTTATCCCTTTTGTTTTAACTGTTCTTGCCTTCTGGCAGCTCTGCGCATGCACGCACTACGAACAGGCTCCTCCTGTTCCTCTGCCTCTCTCTCTCTCTTTTTTTAATATACTTTATTAAGTTTTATATATATACAAGACAAAAATTTCATTTCTATTTACATCGGATCTGCAGTGTTTATACATATGTACATAAAATGTCTCTGGTGTCACTTAATCAGTTTATTACTACTTATTTATCATACCTTATACTCCCCCTTTAATTCTGTTGTTCAACCATTCGTACCACCTTTCCCACACAGTATAATACTCTGAGTTCTCATCGTTGTTTATTTCATACGTTAATTTACTCATCTCTGCGCACTCCAGAATTTTCCTGATTATGAGTTCTTCTGGTGGCAGGGTTTTCTCTTTCCAGAGTTGTGCATATGCCAGTCTAGCAGCTGTGGTTATGTGTATTATCAGATGGATCTTTTTCTTTCCATACCCCTTCTTTACTATTCCCAGGAGAAATATTTCCAGCGTCAATTCTATGTCTTCTCCAATTATTTCTTGTATCCAACTCCGAATTTTGTTCCAGTATCTTTTCACTTCGGGGCATATCCACCACATATGAAAGAAGGTGCCCTGACCATGGCCGCATTTCCAACAGTTGGGATGCATATTGGGGAACATCTTAGCTAGTCTGGCAAGTGCTAAGTACCACCTGTGGAGCATTTTGTATTGATTCTCCTTATATGTCTCTAGTTAATTTATAATTTTTGTTCCATGACTCTTCCCATTCGTTAAAATTTAAACTATGTCCTATGTTTTTTTCCCATATTCTCAATTGGTTTTTAACTGTCTCTTCAACTCTGTCCTCATCTAATAAATAGTTATATAGTTTGGCCAAAACTTTTTTCTCCAGTCCCATCAAAATTTTATCTAGTCCATTATATCCTAATTCTAAGCCATAATCTTCCTTGTCTTTCTGATATCTTGATTTTACTTGTAGGTAGGTCCACCAATCTAGATTTATACCTTGGTCTCTCAAAGTTATCAATTGATTTGAGGTTTCCTCTCCTCTGCCTCTCTTATGTCCGACTCTGGAGGCTCCAGAGTCCGCGCATAACTCCCAGATGGTCCTGGCCCCCTTTCTGTTTCCGACGCAGAGCCCTTGTCCGAGCCTTCCCCAGACTCCAGGACTGGCCCATGTTCCTCCCCAGCCTCCTCACTGTCCGACTTCGCTGCCAGGTCCGCAGGTTGCTGGTGGACCACAACAGACAACAGTTGCAGGAACCACTGGACACTGCAACTGTTGTAAATATATGCTGACTGTCAAGGGCCAAACTTTGATCATGAAACTGTAGGGATGCAGTCATAAGTGTGAGGACCAGTCATAAGTCACCTTTTTCAATGCTGTTATAACTTCGGTCACTAAATGAATGGCTGTACGTTGACCTGTAATAGCTATTCTGATTGATAGCCAAGATCCAGGTAATAGCAGAGAGGCATTGTTTATACATTAAAGCGATTATTTGCAAATACTGCAGATTCTTGCTAATCCTCCCTCAATTTCAGAACAAGCAACTGTAAAGCTAAGATATTTGGAACTGAGCTCAGCATGGAAGAAAAAAATGTTGGGGAACCTTTACCTTTTTATTAGAGAGGAGTGTCTAAAATTGGGTATAAGATTTGGCCTGGGCAATTTATAATGTCAGCATATTGCCCCCCAACAATCTGAGTTCTCATTTTACCGGCCTCGGAAGGATGGAAGGCTGAGTCAACCTTGAATTGGTCAGGATCAAACTCCTGGCTGTGGGCAGAGTTAGTCTGCTATACTGCATTCTAACCACTGCTCAACCAGGGCTCACTTATATGACAGCAATACAATAAACAGGATATGCCAGGAATTGTATATTCTTCTTGCAATTGAGATAATGAAATATATCCTGGTTTGTCTTGCTTAATATACTTTTTGGTATTTAGGGGACAGGTAAAGGTAAGTTAGGAAAACAGGATATCCAATCTAACTGTGATAAATGGGTGATGTTGAAATGAAAAACCAAAAGATGACATGTTAAGCAAAGAGCACATTCCATCTATGTATCTTGGAAAGGTTATGAGGCTACAAGGCAGATGCTACAGTACTATTCAATCTTCTCTCTTGCCCTCTCCCTCTCTCTCTCCCTCCCTCCCTCCCAGTTATGGAAT